CTAATCAAAGTGGAAACAGCTTAACTTTCCTCACACAAAGACATATATACAAAATCTAGTTCCTCTTTGGAAAAGACAGATGACTAATATTTCTGGAGATGATCATACTGATCAGAAATAGCGCCTACTGAAGTGGCAAATTGATCTGGGGTCTACCTGAGGCTGGGTATGAGACTTTGAGGGTGTCAATGAAGTCCTCACCTTCTTGTTTATTTATTTATTTTGGGTCCGGTCGTGGAGCCTGAACTCTGGGCCTGGGCGCTGTCCCTCATCTCTTCAGCTCAAGGCTACCGCTCTACCACTTGAGCCACAGCACCACTTCCGGCTTTTCTCTTTTTGCTTATGTGGTGCTGAGGAATCGAACCCAGGGCCTCAGGGATGCAAGGCAAGCGCTCTACCACTGAGCCACCTTCCAGCCCCTCACCTTCTCATTTATAAGAGTGACTTAGGGTATAAAGTAGATCATTTCTAAGACTCTTTTCTGATGTCACACTATGACTATACTAAATAATGCAACCACTCAGGAAATACCTAACAGGAAGAAGGGGGCAGGGCAGTGGAGACAGGCAAGGAGAAGCCATTTAGATTGTCCTGTTGGAGGGCAGAGCTGGGCTACCTTTTTTCTTTTCTTTTTTTAAAAACAATGTTATTTCAATACACTAGCATTGCCTCATATCAATATTAAAATGTCCATATCCCATAGAGAACATTGTTAGTGTTTTAAGGTTATATTCTACAGGCATTTAGCTGAATGCTAATTAGGGGGTGGGACTAGAGACAGGGTGAGAGAGAATGAATATAGTTTAAGTCGTTTATTTGCATGGATGTAAACAGAACCACAAAAACTGCTGAGATTGTTTGAAAAAATGGCAAGGGGATAAAGGAGACTGATAGAGGGGGTAAGTTTGATCCCCATACATTGCAGGTATGTGTGGAAATGACACAATGAGACTTTCCTTATACAACTAATGTATGCTAATAAAAAAATCACTACAATAAGCCAGGCCCCAGTGGCTCACACCTGCAATCCTAGCTACTCGGGAGGCTGAGATCTGAGGATCTTGGTTCAAAGCCAGTCCATGAAACTCATCTCCAGTTAACCAGGCCCAGAGTTCAAGCCTCACCACGGAACAACAACAACAAAAATGTTCATTACAATTGTGTAAGGGGAGTTAGAGAGATTTCAAAAACTTTTCAAACATTTGTACTGAAAATCCAGTTGGTCCTACTCTGGGCCTATAATTTCAAGTACATTAAAAAAAAATGCCCCTTTTCCATGGTTAACAATTATTATTTAACTGATATGCTGGAAGATCACCAATATGTCAGAGAAAAGATCTACCTTTCGCCACCCCAGAGACTAGAAAGGAAAGGACTGCAAGGGGTAAGACCTTAGTACCATGAGAGAGACTTCTGTATCTAGAATCAAAATGACCGTCTCTCTTTCCTCATGACAGAACTGCTATTGACAGTTTCTGAAGAAAACTACTTCCTTTAAAAAGGCAAACTGAAGATTTAAAATGTACCTCCATGGTAAGAAACCAAACCAAGTACCCATCTTATCAAATACACACAAACCCAGGCATTAAGAAATGATCTCTCCAGTGATGGAGAGCTTATCGGGTTTTGTCAGCCATGCTGGGTTGGACCTTGTCAACTCCCAGTCACCAAAAAAAACGAGGAAGTTACACACGTCAGTCATTTGAGAAACAATATGACTGGGAAAGAAATGGGCCACCAACTGTCATTTCAACTTCCGGTCCTAGATATTGGGTGAGGGACATGACTGCTAGAGATACGCATACCACAGAAGTCTATGTTTTTTGTCAGTGAAGAATATGTGAAACTTTTTAGTGGAGGGATGCACACCTTCATCTTATTTTCCCAGTTTGATTTCAACAACTAAGGCAGTGAGTGTCAAGTATATAAATTCTTCTACTATTTGAAGGTGGTGTGACCACTTCTGGTTGGTGCTCACGGGCTGAATAAGAGGTATGGGATGCCCCCTCCTCCCTGTCAACTGAAGACACAGCTCACAGTCTCTTTACCACATCTACCATACAGGAAGTACAAAGCCCAAGGGCTCAGCCCATTAATGTCTACCTCCTATTCCACATTGTGGCAGGACACATTTTAATAGTTTTGACCCTACAAAGAAGCTCATTTCAATCATCTCTTTAAAAATCCGCAAGCAAGATTCTAATCCTTCAGAGTGAAAAAATATGGTTTTATTATTGTCAAGGGTACTAGTGATTGAACTTATATATGTTGAGTGCATGCTAGACTACTAAGCTATACTCCTTTTCCAGAAATTTTTGATGAGTGTGCTGGTATTTGGGGCTTGAAGTCAAGGCCCTATGCTCTCTTTGGCTTTTTCTGCTCAAGGCTGGTACTCTACTACTTGAGTCATATTTCCACTTCTGGCTTCTTATTGGTTAATTGGTAATAAGAGTCTCAGAGTTTTTTTTTTGCCTGATGGCTTCAAACTGCAATCCTCAGATCTCAGCTTCTTGAGTAGCTAGGATTGTAAGGAATGAGCCATCAGTACCTGGCTTAGAAAAGTAATTTTCTTGTATGTATGTGTTGGTCCTAGGGCTTAAACCCAGAGCCTAGACACTGTCCCTGAACCATTTTGCCCAAAGCTAGTACCCTACTACTTGAGCCACAGTTCCACTTCCAGCGTTTTTGGTGCTTAATTGCAGATAATCTCACAGACTTTCCTGCCCAGGCTGGTTTCAAACTATGATCCTCAGATCTCAACCTCATGAGTAGCTAGGATTACAGGGATGAGCCACCAGCACTAGGCTAGAAAAGTAATTTTTAAAAGCTATTTTTTATATGGTAGGAGATACTTTTACAGAAAACGTGGGACAAAAATTAAGAAAAAACAAACAAACAAACATTATTAAAAAGCAAAAATCATCCATGGAATTTAACAGAAACTGGATCAGTGACATTTGCTCACTTTCAAAGCAAGAAATAACTTCTGGGAGGGACACACGTAGGCTGTACCAAGGCTACCCACTCCACCTGTTAGAAATTCTAACTTATCATCTGTAATTCAGTATACAATCACCAATGGAGAAGAGTTACTGAGGATTTCGAGATTACCACCAGTGTCAAAAACCAATGTCCTTTTAGCTGCTGTACCAGCTCCCAACAAATCTCTTACAAATACACTTGAGAGATGACATTTAAAAATCTGCTTCCTCAGAAAAGAAAAAGTCCCACTCAAAACTGACTGCCAAGAACTTGAAACTCAAACTTCCCCTAAATCCAGACATCACAACAGCCAGCCAGGAAGCTTTAAACCATTCAATCTGCACGAAAGAGATCAGAATAAACCAGTAAGAGCATTTCCCAATACTTGAATTGAAAAGTGCTCTATACCCAAATACCCTTTTTAAAAAAACAGACAAACTATCCTTACAACAGAAATATGTAAACACACGTATTGCCAAATCTCAAGCTCCTAATTACTTCCCAAACCAGAAATCATGGCGAAATAGGCTGTAACAGCCATTCGAAAGATGTCTAAATAAGCTGCTATGAGAGGCTTGAAATATCACCCAGACAACCAAAAGCTAAAAATCTTGAGGTACTTAATTAACTGAAGCTATTTAACAAGGGAAATGATGGTACGATCACATCCACAAGTGGTTTACAATCAGTTTTTATTTGCTTTTATTGTATGGCTCAGTGAGAGGTTTTGTTACCTGAACACCATGTCTTTCTCTACAAATGTAAGGAAAGGCAGCTTCTAGCCAAGATCAGAAAAGAAAAAAAAAAATCTCGAATAAATTGGAAGTAATTAGGGGTTATGTCACACGTTGTGATTCATTTAACAAGTAATAATTAGAACCAAAGCAAAATGTATAGGATAGTAAGCAGAAATTAGGATCGATTCCTTGGCTTGGGGAGTTTAGTAAGCGTTCAAGTTCAAGAATTTAAACAATTGAGGTGTTGCTTTTCCGGAGATGGGAGGAAAGGAGTGAACCCATCTCTTCCTGACAACATCATTTCCCCCCCCCAAAGTCACCAATCTCCGATTTAATCCTCCACACAATTCCACGCTCCATACACATTATTCCACCAAGAGTCACTTTTTACCTTCTCCTGCACTTAACCTAACCCCAAAGTACAGAGGAAAGAGCCACCACTGTCCCCTCCCCAGTTACTGGGAAAGTCCAGCACCCCCACATCGCTTTCCACTTCCTCTCCCTATCCACCTCTCTTTACTACATATGCTGGCTTTCCCCTTTCCTTTTGGGGGGGTCCCATTACTAGCTTCTTTTGACTTTGCCCAAGTAGCCTCCGGTGGTCCTCTGCTCCCCCTAACCCTCCACACACACACACACACACACACACACACACACACACACACACGCTTCCCCATCCTCTCCCGTGGCATCTCTGCCCAGACCTCTTATAACCAGTGTCCCCCCCCCCCTGTCCCCCTCGTCTCTCATTCATTTCCCCTCCACTCCCTTCCGATGGCCTGATCGCGCCTCTCTCTCCTCCCTCGTGTCCTCCGGTCCCTGGACTCCAGGGTCCCCTCTCATTCCTCAACCCTTCATTTCCCCCCTTTCACGCTTCCTTCCTCTTTCCTGTCTTTTTCACACCATGTTCGCATCCCCTTCTCTGTCCCTGAGATTTCCCGTTACCCCCCCAACACACACACACACACCAAACACACACACACAGGCATACGCACTTGGTCTCCTCGGAACCCCCTCCTGGTCGGCCCTGAATCCCCTCACTGCCCCCAAGCCCCCTGAGTCCTGGTTGCCCCTCCGCCCCTCTGCCTCACGCCCTCGCCCCTCTGCCTCTCCCTCTCCCACGGTTCCCACCGCCCAGCCTCCCGGTGGCCCCCGAGCTCCCCGATCTCCCCCACCCCCGGCCCCAAGCCCTAGCTTGCCCCTCTCCCAGTATCCGCCCCCCATTTGTCACCCCGCCGCCTCCCGCCCCGCCGGCGTCCAGAGCCCCGGCCCCTCCCTCACCGATGGTGGAGATGAAGGTGGTGTTGAAGGCGTCCTCCGAGAAGCGGAACAGGAGGCAGGTCTTGCCCACGCCCGAGTCTCCGATCAGCAGCAGCTTGAACAGATAGTCGTACGTCTTCGCCATCTTCTCGCTCCGGCCCTCTGACCGACCGCCGAGCGCGGAGGAGGCGGCGGCGGAGCGAGGCGCCGAAGGGGCCGCGGGAGAGGGGGCGTGTCCGCCGAGCCGCCCGCGCCCCGCCCTGCGCCCCGCCCCACGGAGAAGGCCTGCGCGCCCCGCCCCGAGGGGGCCAATCCGTGAAGGCTACGTCATCCGCGCCCGCGCCGCCAGGCTTCATGGGAGTTGTAGTTCCTTTTTTTAATTTTGAGGCGTCTCGGGCGTGCCCAGCGCGGACTGTCCAGACCCGGCTTTTTAAAGCTCTGTCCCCGGGGGGGAGTGACCTAGGCGCTTCCGCTCTAGCAGGGATGGGCGACCTCTTTGTGAACTTTGCTAAACCTGCTGCTGAACTTTTACTTCGTTGTTTCTTTGTTTAGGGGAGCCTTTCAAGCCCAGGACTTGCTGCATCCCATCCCGAAGCGAGGGTGCTCGGCGCAGCCTCGCGTTACCCGCGGGGGACCGGCCGGCTTTCCCTCCAGCTCCCGCCCAGACCCCCTTTTCATCACCGGGCTGGAAAGGGATGATTACCTTGCCAACTTGAACCCACTTTCACCCCCTTCACACCACACAGACCAAAGCCAATACAGCAACTGTTTTCTTAGAGGATCACCTACACAGACGGGGCTTCCCTCACCCCGTAGGAAGATGGACAAGGAAAACAGAAGAGGATTTTTAAAAGGAGGGGAGGAGGAAAGAAAAGAAGAAGGAAGAGGAGGAGGAGGAGGAAAAGGAGCAAGAAGAGGCTGTTTTAAGGTTCTCTGTCTTATAAAATAGCATCACCTGGCACTGGAACTTTGGCCACGGATATTTAGAAAATTAGATTTGGGTTTGGTCTCAGCTCAGTCATTTAACCCTTGGCACGGGTCATGCAGCTTCTGTAAACCTCGGCTTTCTGTTCTGTAAAATAGAAATAAAACTATATCCTTCATTGGTTGTAGCAAAAAATGAAGTACCGAATGTGAAAGCACTCTGAAACCAGTAAGTCATTGTGAAAGTGTCAGAATTATTATTATTATTTTTGTATTTGTGCTGGTACTGAGGCTTGAACTCAGGGCTTGGGCACTACCGCTTATCTTCATTCATTTAAGGCTAGTGCTCCTCCACTTGAGCCACAGCTCCACTTCCAGTTTTTTTGTTTTTATTTTTATTTTTTTGGTGGTTAATTGGAGGTAAGAGTCTCCAGAATTTGCCTGCCTGGGCTGGCTTTAAACCTCCATCTTCAGATCTCAGCCTCCTTTGTGTTAGGATTACAAACATCAGTCACCTGGTCTCAACAGTGTATTTGTAGCCTGTCAATTAGGCTCTCAAGTAATGTGACAAAGGGAGGGAGGAAGGAGCATTCTGTTATAGCCAACTCAATTCTTCGATATTTTTTGCCTGAGAATACTTCATTGTCTTGAGGATGTATTGCTCAGTCCTCCTTTTATTTGCTGGTACCCAGAATCTAACCAGATAAAACTCCTGTGAGAGTGGGGTTCAGGGGTCAAGTAGCCTGGTGGGAGGAACAGTTGAGAGGACCAGAGGAGCCATCCTGTTCCAGATCTGTTTTCTCCTGTCTTCTTATACCCCACACCCCAATTGTCACTTGTAATATGTACAATACCAAAACCCCCAGAAATTTTTTTAACATTAATAAAAGCTCCTTGGAACCATAAGTAATTTTTAAATGAATAAAGAGTTCCTGCACCAATCGCTGGTGATTCATGGCTTTAATCCTACCTACTCAGGAGGCTGATCTCAGTTCAAAGCCAACCTGGACAGGAAAATCTCTGAGACTTGTATCAATGGGTAACGACCAAAAAGCCAGAAATGGAGCTATGCCTTAAAATAGTAGAACAGTAGCCTTAAGTACAAAATCTCAAGGACAATGGCCAGGACCTGAATTTAAGCCCCAGGACTAGCGCAAAAAAATAAATAAATAAAACAAGTTCCTTTTACCAAAATACTCGAGAGGCACTAATACAAATATTGACATTGGATGTAAGGAAATCCTTCCTGAAAGAGACAGGTTATTGAATAAATTCAACCATTGATGCAACAAGAAAAATATTTGGGCAGCTCTTTGAACAAGTCATCTTAGTGGCTTGGGATTACATGGACACGGAAGGCAATGGTGTTACATTCTGAGTACAATTTCATAGAAATCTTGATTGGCCCATGGACTTTCACCTCTACGTGATGAAAGGTGTACTACATTCCCATTAACTCATATTTATTGATTATGCAGTGGCCACAGAGCATTGGCGGCTGCTGTTAGCCAAATATATGATTTCTAGAGCCCGCTTGGTAAGGACAAAGTTGTTCAGAAGTCAAAGTCATGATAATGAAGAAGGTTTCCACTCTCTAGCCCAGGCTGAGGCTCTTTGCCCAGGCCCATATTCAGGCAAACCTCTGGACTTGATTTCTCTCAGAGTCTTTTCAGGAACAGAAAGCTCAGTTGCTTTATCCTCATTGGAGCATGGCAGAATTATCTTCAAAGATCAGACTCTCTTTTTGAAGAGGTGTACATACTAAAGTAACGTTTTAAGCTGGGCACTGGTAACTCACACCTATTTTCCTAGCTTCTCAGGAGGTTGAAATCTGAAGATAGCAGGTTCAAAGCCAGCCCAGGCAGAAAAGTCTGAAAGACCACATCTTCAGTTAACCAGCAAAAAACTGGACTAGAGGTGTGTCTCGAGTAATAGAGCTCCAATTGTGAGCCAAAAAATCTCTGAGTTCAAGCCCAATACCACTAAAAATAAAAGTTTCATTCTAATATGAATTTAAGTTCAAAAGAGAATTTTGATGTCCCCTAAATTTCCTTAGGGGAATTTTGTACACTGACAGGAATTTTCTTTTAATTGGGTCTTATTTTCATTTCCTTAGCTTTTCTGTGCTGCTAAGTGTATGTAAATTGAGTCTTGCTCTTTGGTAGATTTGTGTACCACTTCTGAACCATTCAGGTGTTTTGATATATTGATACTATTTCAAAAGGAACTTTTTTCTTTTATACATTAATTCTTTTGTGCAACAATAGATTTGAGGTAGCAACTAGGTACCACTGATTGAAGACATTTGGCTCACAATATAAGTGATCCAACTACTGGATCGCAAACTGAGTTTGTGCCAGTTGCTAAAACCCAACTTCAACATGCTGTACCCCTGGCAGGCACAGTCAGTTTGATTAAAAGAATGCTATTGAAGCCCCTACAGAGCATTGTGCATGCTTCTTTGATTACAGAAATCCAAGGCACCTGGTGTGCATTTTTACTTTGATTTTAGGAAGCTATTTTTCTCTACAGGTGATTTAGAATAATGGTACTTACTCTTCTATTCCTGGAGGGGACTCAGGAGCCAGGGGGAGTGGTCTGATTCCCACATAGCAAACTCTCTGGTGATGGTACTCCAAGGTCATCTTTTTGATGGGAGGATTAGGTGAGCTTCAGGTTTGTGTGTGTGTGTGTGTGTGTGTGTGTGTGTGTGCATGCCCGTGTACACACATTGGTACTGGGGCTTGAACTAGGATGTGGGTGCTGTCCCTTAACTTTTTCACTCAAGGCATGACTCCTCTTCTGGCTTTTTGCTGGTTAACTGGAGAGTCTCATGAACTTCCCTGCCCAGGCTGGCTGTGATCCTCAGATCTCAGCCTCCTGAATAGCTAGGATTACATACAGAAGCCACTTGAACCTGGCTTAGGTTGATTTGGATTACAGCTTGAGTTCCTTCCTTCGTTCTTTCCTTCCTTCCTTCCTTCCTTCTCCTTTCTTTTTTTCCTTCTTTCCTACTTTCTTTCTCTCTCTCTCTCTTTCTCTCTCTCTTTCTTTCTTTCTTTCTTTCTTTGCCAGTCCTGGGCTTGAAGTTGGCCTGGGCACTGTCCCTGAGCTTCTTTTGCTCAAGGCTAGCACTCTACCACCTGAGCTACTGTGCCACTTCTGGCTTTTTCTGTTTATGTGGTACTGAGAAATCAAACCCAGGGCTTCATGCATGCTAGGCAAGCACTCTACCACTAAGCCATATTCCTAGCCCTTGAGTTGATTTTTTACCTTCTTCTTCCTGACCTATCTGTGTTCATTTGGCCTTCAGGCTGGCTTTCTTCAATGTCACAATCAACATGGTCATGCTGTACAATTCCAAGGGAACTGTTTACCTCTTACATAGTTGTTCATTTTGGGGCACCCCATGAAGAATCTACAAACATATTCTTGAAGGTCTGTGTGTTCCATATGCAAATTATTGTATTATTTGCATGTCATTTATGAATTATTATTAGAATGTTTAAACAAGTTCAAATTGCTTCAAGACATTTGAGTGCAAGAAATGTCACCTTTTTTAAATTGCATAAGTGAAACTACAAAAATGTCGGGGAGGCCCCCCCCAACTTGTGAAGGGCTGATAAAACTGGAATCAGTCATCATTGGGATATTTCCTCCCAGTAGTTGTATTCATCAAGAACCCAGGTACTGCCAGGTCCTGAGTTCAAGCCCCACTACCTGCACAAAAAGAAAAGCAAACCAGGCATCAACTTGTGCCTGAAACTTGTCCCTAGCCATTGGTCTGTGCCATCAATTTGATGCTTCTGTCCAGTATTCTTGGGTGCTGGCGCTGAGCCATCTGTTGGGCACAGCTGTCCCGGTGAGCTACAAAGATGTCCTTCATGGTGCTTGTCCTCATGGAATGACAACTCAGCTTTTGAATAAGTTCTCTCTGTTGTAGCATGGCATGTGTTGTTCTTTGTCTCTCTCTCTCTCTCTTGACACTTGAGTTCTTTTGCCTGTAATCCCAGCTCTACATGGAAGATGAAAATCAAGATGATTGAGGTTCAAAGCCAACCCCGGGTAAAATGTTAGCAAGACCCCATCTTAGCCAACAAGTTGGTCATGGTCATCTATAATCTCAACTACACAGAAGGCATAAATAGGAGGATGGCTATCCAAGGCCAACCCTGGGGAAAAAAGCAAGACACTATCTGGAAAAGAACTCAGGCAAAACAAATGGTGGCTGGGGACCATGGCTCAGATGGTAGAAGTACCTGCCTAGAAAGTGTGAAGTCTTG